TGATACATGTTTGTCTTTCTCTGACTTACTTCCCTTATGACGATCTCTAGGTCCATCCATGTTGCTGCAAATGGCATTGTTTCATTCTTTTTAATGGCTGAGTAGTATTCCTCTCTCTGTGTGTGTGTGTGTGTGCATACCACATCTTCTTTATCCAGTCATCTGTCGATGGACCTTTAGGTTTTGTCCATGTCTTGTCTATTGTAAACAGTGCCGCTATGAACACTGGGGTGCATGTATCTTTTTAAACTAGAGATTCCATTTTTTTCCAGATATATGCCCAGGAGTGGGATTGCTGGATCATATGATAACTCTATTTTTAGCTTTTTAAGGCGCCTTCATACTGTTTTCCATAGTGAATTCATTACACTGTAGAAACAGAATCCTCTAACACCGAGAACATTAGTTCAGAGGCTAATTTTCTAAAAGTCCTTGTAATGAGCAAAGACAGGAATTTTAAAACCATCTTTGAGAAGAAAGCATTCTCTATTAAAGTACTCTTTATAAAGCCTGGGTTGTTTTTTGATAGAAGTGATGGAGGACATCCAGCCCTCTTTCCCTGTAATTCTTTCAGGAGGAAGCAATTTTAAAGTCTAATAGTTTGGAGAAAGCAACTTTATAACCGTGGCCTCCACTGCCCTGACTGGAAAAGACAGAGCGTGTTCGTATTTTCACAGTCACACCAGCTGTGTGTGGCGCTTACATCTTTCTGGGTGGAGAGCGTCGTGGGCCGAGCCTTCCATTTCTCCTGGACAAAGAGTTCCCTCCGGGCTGCCCAGATCCACCAGCTAGAACCGCAGTTCCGAGGGGGGAGAATAACCAGCACGCTTTTTAAAATAGGCAACTAAAAAAAAAATGGCAAAAGGCAAAACCAGAAAAAATCAAAACTGGGATGGTTCAGATAACTTTAGTGAGATGTATCTTTACATCCAAGAGAAGTGGGGAGTGCAATAAATCAGACCAAAGACTGAACGACCTCCCTTGCCAAATGGTTGGCGTTTTATAAGGCATGTTTGCCAGGCGACCCCTGTGCTGCTTCCCGAGGCCATGGCTCCTGAACACATCCCCCTGATTGTGCCCCTCGGTGGGCCACCTGCAGCTGGGGGCTGGTTTCTGCCTGATAGCTCTTTTGTAAGATAGTGTGGTGTGCCCCGAGTAACCAGCATCCTTCATCAGGACTGAGAGCGAGGTGGGTCATGGACACTTCTCACTGGCTCAGAATGGGCCCCACTGCACCAGGAGTCATCATTGGGGGTGGGGGGTGCGTTCGCTTCAGTTCTGACCAGAGCCTTCCCTTTCTCCCTGTCAGCTCCTGCACACGCTAGGTTAGCAGGGTCTTCACCCTCACAGGCTGATTCCGTGCACCCAGTGAGGCAGGCAGTGTAGAGAAGACTGGCACCTGAAAGACACAAAGGAGGGCTGAGTGGGAGGAGGGGGGCATGAAACCTCCTGGAGATTTGAACACCCCTCACCTTGTGCAGAAGGTCCTCGCCTGTGACACCTGAGACTGTTCAGCCCCTGAAATGAGTATGTCATCGTGTAGAAGTTGTATGTTGGCTTCAATGAAACATATTGTTAAAATTAATTTTACCTATTTCTTTTCACTTTCCTTTAATGTGACTATTAGGAAATCTTAATGACCTGTGAAGCTTGCGGGATTGTTCGGTGAGACAGTGTGAATGACGGCTGTTATTCCTTTAGCCCAAGCGGTTGGGCGCGATCGTGAAAAGAGACACACTAATATTGAGCACCATCCGTACCAGTTACTTGCAGATGCCTAACACATGACCCCAGAATGTAGTGGCGTTTAGTGTCTCCCAGCGTCTGTGGGTCAAGAACGTGGCTCGGCTGGATCCTCTGGCTCAGGGTCTCTCTAGAGGCTGTAATCAGGGTGTCGGCCAGGGCTGCAGTTACTCCAACGCCTGACTCAGGAAAGATCCCTTTCCAGGCTCACAGCGCGTGGCTGTTTGGCAAAGCTTGGTTCCTTCTGGGTGGTTGGGCAGAGAGCCTCATTCCGTCTTTGGCCGTCAGCCAGACGCCACCCTCGGTTCCTTGCCTTGGGGGTTTCTCCATCCAGCTGCCCCCATCATCCTCGCAAACCAGTGAGAGGAGCAAGAGTCTGCATGCCAGCAGGTGGAAGTCACCCAGTCTCCTAGGTGACATCTCATCACTTTGCCCTGCTCTGTCCACTAGAAGCAAGTCACTCAGTCCGGCCACACTCAAGGTGGGGCTTACACAGCGCCAGGAGGCTGGGACATGGGCAGCGACTTAGAAGCTGCCTGCTGCAGCCAGGTAGCAAGGGTCCCGTTGACCTGACATCCACCCACCACATGGTTGCTCTTTAATGTCATGTACTTACGGTCAGGGGTCCAGGGTGCTGCATTTGTATTTGCTTGTCACTGCACACAGAAACTCTGGAATAATACATGAGAAACTACAGATAGTGGTGACTTTGGGGGACGAGAGTGGGAAGTGAGCAGGTGGGGACAGGATGGGAGGGGTGCATTTCCCTGGATACCTTTTTCTTTTGGAGAGTTTAGAACCTTGTGTGTATAGAGTACCATGGAGGGGGGGGATAATCTGCTTCCACCCCGCAGGGGCTCCATGCCTGGCTGTCGCCGTTCCCTGGCTCCGTCTGACTCCTCTGGGGCCTGAAGCCAGTGTAGGCCCTCCCTCCTCCAGGGCTCCATTCTAGGGCTTGTCCCGCCGTATAAAACCCACTGCGTCCCTTGTCTCGGTCCCCGGCTCACCTGACGCTTGTATTCCAGTGAGTCAGGCTCCGTCGGTTGAATGAATGAGCTCTTCCTTTAGCAGATAGGGGGCGGGGGGGGCCTGGTTCTCCCTGGGATTGTACCCTGTGGGTGGGGGCAAACTGGGAGAGACCCGGGTAGGAGTACACACCAGGGCACATCTGACTGTCGGGGCCCCAGGACCCCCCAGACCACAAACCCCAATTTCCCCTCCGAGGTGGCTCCAGGAACCTCCTCGCAGGCTGTATACTCTCCGTGGCTGACTCGAGATGTGATGGACCTTTGTAGGCAGGAGGCTATGGTCTACCCTGGTGTTTCTCCAGGTGTGGCCTCTGGGCCAGCAGCCTCTGCATCACATGGGGACTTATAAGAAATGCACGTTTCAGGCCTCTTCCTGCACTTAGAGAATGAAAAGCCCGGGAGGCGGGCGCAGCCACCTGCGGTTTTAACAAGCCCTCTAGTGATGCGCATGCCGGTGCCCCGCTAGTCTGAAAAGCGCTGGTCCAGCGTTGACTCCTGGCTCCTGTGAGGGAGCTTCCGGCTTCCCCAGGGGCTGGAGGTCAGAGCAGGTGTCCCTCTGAGGACGGCTCCTCCGTCAGCATCCTCCCGCAGCGCCTGGGACTCCCTGCTGCCCAGAGGACTGACCTGATGAGGAGCTTTTACGTACGCTTAGCCACCAGCTCACTGTCTCAGTTCCTTGGAAGAATATTTTGTGACTTTATGCTTTTCTAAAGGTGTCTTTGTGCTGGAGCTCAGGGACAGATTGTTCTTGGAGAAAGGATGAAGCATCCTGCAGACAGAGTGTCTCTTCTCTTAGAAGCCCACATACGAGTTCATGAGGTCAAGGGAGGTGAATGCCATGCCAGACGGATGTAAAGGGCAGTTGGGTGCAGCTGTGCAGCTCTGGCTGATTCCTGCTTTGTTTGCTTCTGGTTCAGATAATAAAGGAGGATACGGCTGCTGAACTAGCCGTAGCCAGTGAGGACTAGGGCTCAAATGGTCCACCAAGAATTGCTTAGAAATGTCACAAATATGCTCTTTAGAACAAATCCAAGAGTTCTCCTACTTTAGGAAATGCGGGGGCAGATTTATGTTGCAGGAATCTCAAGCAGGACTGGACCTTAGAGATTGTCCAGCACAAACCTTCATTTTACAAGGAGGGAAATGGGGCCGGGGGCGGGGTGTTAAGTGACTTGCCCCAAACACACACAGAACTGGGTGGGGGAAAACTGGGCCCACACCCTGCCCTAGTGGATCTTTCCCCTAAAGTCACTGAAATTACTTATAAAAATATTCAGAGGAATGTATCCATGATAGGCCTATAATTGGCTTTTAAAGGAAACTCGACATATTTTAGGGGTCAGTCTTTGGACTTTGAAGGTGACTTCAAAGAAGACAGTGAGGCCTTCGGAGCACAGGGGTCAGTGGCCTTCAGACGGGTCCTGGAGCCCCAAGGTCCATCCAGAAATGTACTCTTCCCCGGGGCCCTGACAGAACAGTTCTGCACTGGTTTGTGTAGAGAACATGCTTCTGAAAGACCTCTTTTGAAATGATTTAATCTGAAAACTATTATTCCACCAAGAAGCAGTTCGACAGTACTGTTGCGAATCCAGTTTCGTCGTTATCAGAAATAACAACACTTGAAATTTTGCTTCTTTGTTTTCTTTTTTTTTTACCTTTATGGATCCAAAAGTAGGCTCCCCGACGGCGTCTGTCAGGACACATCTGAGGGACCCTGGGAGTTGCCCTCCCAGAAAGTCTCCTCCTGTTTGGTCTTCCTCATCCAGTAGGATGTCCGGGCAGGTGTCTCCTCCAGATCTTTGATGGGGGGAGATGGAGCCACTGTGCTCACAAGTCAAGTGTATGGTTCCCCAGCTCCCGGCAGAGTACTGCTTCGTCTCCCTCTGTTTACCGCGAACAGTACTAGAGATATGGCACAGCCTGTCACTGAACAGATAACCGTGGAATTAAAACCTCACCAGGAAAAGCACCTATTTGATTCCACTTGTTAAAAAGCTCACATTCTGGAAGCAGCCCTCCGCACCCGACGGCTGTCATGAGGCTTCATCTTGACGACGGGGCAGTTTGTGATGTCCTCAGTGCATCAGAGGAGAGGGCTTAGAAAGAAAAAACAATTATTTAATGGGGAAATCAAATAGACTTGTTACTGGAGCATTGCCCTCCTAAAGGTATCTTGGTGCTAAATGATGATCCTGCTAAGTGTCGGCACCTCTTTGTTCCCTCTTTCAGAATGCTAGAAGATGACCTTAAGCTAAGTAGTGATGAAGAGGAGAATGAACAGGTAAGGTTTTGTTTTTTTGTTGCTCTTCTTTAGATGCAACCTGAGGACACTGACCTGGGAGACGGTCCTGTGTGTTAACTGAGTCAAACCAGCGCTGGATGGTGGTTCTCTAAGATGCTGGGTGTCCTCTGCTGGTGACGAGATTCTGTGCCACTGGGCTGGTCTGTTAAAATATCTTGGCCTTAATTTTCCTTAAAACTGTGCTTCTGTGATCTTGATGGCATTGAAGCCAACAGTAGCTGTTTATAAGGAAGCCACCTGGGATCAGGCTTCAGTGTGAGATAGTGCCTTTTTTTGGTAACTGGTCTTCTGGAGATCAGATGTGTGAGCTCCACCTGATCAGCTTGCAGCAGGCATGCTGTTGCATTAAACATTGAGAAGCCTTATGCCGATATTATTAACACTGAAGCGAAGCAAGCGCAGAGGTGAGCTAAAATGATGAATAAAAAATAATCATGCTCAGAACAGCCTGTTTGTCTTAAGTGATCAATGTGCTTGAAATGTTCTCCCCTGGTGTTGATTTATCCGCTCGAGTCATCAGTCAGGAGTTTATAAATACTCTTCTGATCAGTCAGTTAAGGTGAAAAAATACCCACTTAACATTCATCACTTTCACATCTGCCTTTCAGGAAATGTTTGTATTTTTAAAGCAAGTTTGAAAACACGAAAGACAGATTTTCCTCCACTTGTGGTTCCTTTTTCTCATTACCTGTTTTGTATTTTTGTCAAGTTGGGGTAAATGTGATCTGTATAAAGACAGTTCAGAGAGGGTTTTTTTTAATGTCATTTTTACATGCGATACAAGACCCCTGTTCTATTCAGTTGATCTTGCAGTGGTGAATTTCATACAAAGGTGTCACAGAATGTGGTGCAGGTCACGCAGCTGGGTAGACATGCAAACGACATACCCAGAGACAGTGCAGAGGTAAAATAAAAGTCAAGGACATTTCTGGGAAGCGCATCTGAGCCGAATGTTGCCGCGAGGTCACAGAAAAGGTTGCTTACCTTGTGAGGGAAGATGAGGCATGCACTGGGGGTGAGACAGAACTCGATGAAATTTGAAACTAGACTGGCAAGCGGAGAAAACTCCAAGCGGAGGAAGTTTGAGCAGGGGGGCCACTCAGGCCTTCGATTTTTTTTAGAGATTGATTGATTCGTTTCTAGGCACACACTGCAGGCCAGTCAGATAGCCACCACGCAGCCGTCTTGGCAGAACCGGAGGACGACTTCACTCCTCGTCTTGGTTCCTCGTCTGTGTGTCTATGAGCAAACGATTTCATCTCTGGTCTTTTTTTCCCCAGTGGAGGTTCAGATAGGTACATTGTGAATAAAGTCACATCAGATGTGTAGGCTGTGTAGACTTCGTATTGGAAAAGCGATTTACAGACTACTTCATTCAGCAAGCCTATCTTAATTCGGAAAGGATTGCCTGAGTGATTTCCAGAAACATTTCCACTGAAAATACCATTTTTAAAAATTAGTTATCTCAAACAGAAGCCCCCAAACCCAGGAGAATGGGTCTCTTCCCAGTCTTCCCTTCCAAACGTTGCAGAATTGTGACTGGAATCTCTAGAGCTGGGGTTGACCGGGTTTACAAAGCCGGGAGGTGCAGCAGAAGTGGAGGCTTATTCTCCTGTTTCCATCCTTGATGGAGTTCAGACTAGATACAGGACCAATGACTTGAGAATCAGTTTTCCTGTCTGGGTCAGTGATGGGAGCTCCCAGGATATGTTTGGTGGTCAGTTTTATCTCCTTCCCAGTGACTCTTGGTTTTAACAATTCAAGATGCCAGTATTTCTATGGAGGAAAGTGAAGGAATTAGAAGATTTAAGACAAAATTATTCCTGAAGGTACTAAGTCCTAAAGGACTTGGCTAATGGATTTGGAAGGGAGAGGGGAATTATGTTGTGTGTCTTCCTATTTAGTAAAAAAGATGGGTTCTGCCTCCCAACTGAGGGTAAGCACGGGAGGCTGGGCACAGCCAGGATCTAGATGAAATTACTACAGCTGAGACGTGAGGACAGGGACCATGATTAAGACTTTGAGCAGGGAGCAGCTGAGATAGGGTCAACCGCAGACAGGGTTTCAGAGATGACAAATACATAAGCTCAGGGAAGTAAAGAGCAGCGTTCTAAATTGAATGGCTGTATATGCGCCTGCAGCTTCCAGTAATTACATTATCCACACATATTAGGCAGTCTTTTCATTTTAATTATATAACTGCATTTTTCTCTTGAAATGAGCATGGTGTAGCCACTTAAACTGACAATTTTAATTTTACAGGCAGTGATCATTGGATATAATCTGTAGAGGGAAATTTTCCTACTGGCATAATTTACTTCTCACAATGAAGAAAAGTTACCTTTTAATCCCCAATCAATATTTGGAGAGCACACAATTAATTTAATAGATATCTAGGTAGTTAACATAAATCTGCAAGTTAAAGAGCGAATTTTTTTCTTATTCTTAATACATGAAGTTCTCATCTTGTCTCTCAAAAAAGAATCTCGGTCCTCACAGAATGACTCAAAAGCTTTTCTCATCGGGAAGTCAGGGTTGGAGGTGAGATGGCCCTGAGCACTGAATTGCAGTTCTTTCTGCTTTTTGTTAACGTCGGTTTCTTCTGAAGAGGCACAAGGAACATTCCTATCTCACTTTTCTGCTCTTTACCATAGAGGTCACTAGATAACTAACATCAGTTCTGGCTGTAATATTCAAAGCGGATTGCCAATTGTAATGGGCGCTGTGCATTTTTTTCCCTCTTGTTCCTTTTTAATATGACAATTGCATAACAGAAAGCAGAACTTTTCAGAGCCTCTGAAGCCATCAGCCGTGTGTGTCAATCAGTCACCAAATGAATTAGCTGCATGATATGCAGACGTGAAATAAAAATAGAGGAGTTTTTTGCAGCCCAGCTCCACTTCCCTGGGTGCATTTTTCTTCTCAGGATCAGCTTGGTTGATGCTGAAGTTCTTGGCCTGTGAAAATTTATTACCCGCAGAGTCAATCTGCATTCAGGCGGCCAAGTCTGAATAAATAGAGTCATTGTGCTTGTCTGGGATTTGTGGCCAGAGTTCATCCAGTCAGCTTGACATTCACATCCCAAGAGATTCATAAAAGCCAACACCCTGGTATGTGCTCTTGAATCCTGCCAAAATTTGGAGAATTATATAAACAGGAGTTGAAGCAGTAATCAGGACCAGGTTTGAGGGGCGAAGCTCCGAAAGCAAGTTTCTCCTACATTAGAAATGAACTATGTTGGAGATGGAATTTGTAGCCAGCAAGAACTAAAACGTTTTTACATAAAAGTCATTCTGAGAAGAATTTTGAATACCTACTAAGTGTCAAATATCCTGCAAGACGCCGGCTAGTAGGTCTTAATGAATTGCACGTTAGGAATATTTATTATGATTATTTAACCTCAAAAATGGAAAGTACTTTTTAAATGCCAGGAAATGCCCTTTTCTCAGTGACTATACAAAAAAAGTATATATTACATGTGTTAGACCTAATAGCAAAATAGAAAAAAAAAGAATACTTTGTTTTTATTTTCAGTCTTGTAGTAACGTTGTATCTAAGCTAAATATCCATACTGATGAACTGTTTTCTTTTCAGTGTAGAAACAGAACAATAACTCTCATTGAAAGCTATTAGATCTTTCTCATCTGTATATGAAGTAATCATAATTCAAACCTTCAGTCACAATCAGTGAAAGACAGATGTTCAACAGGAGGTTTTTGTTTGTTTAACAGCCCTAAAGCTTAGTTAAGTAATATTTTATAAGTAAAATTGTACTGTTACCGAAATAAAATGCAAAATTCTTTTAAGATAGCCAATTTTATTATATCATGTCATTCTTCTTTTTTAACTGAAGTATAGTCATTTTGCAATGTTGTGTTAATTTTTGGTGTACAGCCTAGTGATTCAGTTATATATATATATATTCCTTTTCATATTCATTTTCATTATGGGCTATTACAAGGTATTGAATGTAGTTCCCTGTGCTGTACAATAGGACCTTGCTGTTTATCTCTTTTTAGTATAATAGTTAGTATCTGCAAATCTTGAACTCCCGATTTATCCCTCCATGCTCTTCTTTCCTCTCTGGTAACCATAAGTTTGTTTTCTATGTCTGTGAGTCTCTTTCTGTTTTGTAAATAAATTCATCTGTGTCATTTCTTTTCAGATTCCACCTATAAGTGATATCATATGGTATTTTTCTTTCTCTTTCTGGCTTACTTCACTTAGTATAAAAATCTCCAGGTCCATCCATGTTGCCACAAATGGCATTATTTTATTCTTTTTTATTGCTGAGTAGTATTCAATTGTATATGTATATATCACATATTCTTTATCCAGTCATCTGTAGATGGACATTTTAGGTTGCTTCCATGTCTTGGTTATTGTGAATACTGCTGTTGTAAACATTGGGGTGCATGTATCTTTTCAACTTAGAGTCTTCTTTGGATATATGCCCAGGAGTGGGATTGCTGGATCACATGGTGAATCCATTTTTAGTTTTTTAAGGAATCTCCATACTGTTTTCCATAATGGCTGCACCAATCTACATTCCCACCAGCAATGTAGGAGGGCTCCCTGTTCTCCACATCCTCTCCAGCATTTATCATTTGTGGACTTTTTAATGATGGCCATCCTGACTGATGTGAGGTGATACCTTGGTGTAGCTCTGATTTGCATTTCTCTGATAATGAAGGATATGGAGCATCTTTTCATGTGCCTGTTGTCTATCAGGCCATTCTTTATAAACATTTGTGAAAAGCAAAAGCATCAGTGGAGATACACAAAAATGTAGTTGTCTTTTTTTTATGTTAATCAGCTATCATTTCCAAAAATGAAATGGTTAGCCAACTTCAACGTCACTGATCACAAAGGCCCACAATCCTGTTTGCTAATTGTTTCCCTCAAACCCACTCTGAGGACCAGACTGAGATTCATGTAAGTTTCATTGTGTCCCCCCAGCTTGGATCTTAGGATGTGAC